AGTGGAATCCACCAGAAAACCTCTCAGAAGAAGAGAGGAGCAAACTCCACATCTGGGTCATAACAGACGCATGCCCAGCAGGCATGGGTGCACTAATTGGACAAGGCGGAAAGTGGCAGACTTGCTGCCCAGCTGCATTCATGTCCAAAAAGTTCACCAACACACAACGTAGGTACTTTGCCTACGAGCTCGAGGCACTGGGCGTCCTCAAAGCACTCATGAGGTGGCAAGACGATCTCATGGGAGGCCGTGAATTCACAGTAATCACGGACCACAAAGCTTTGGAATATTTCAAAGTGAAAAACCACAACTCAGGCAGACACCTGAGATGGCAAGCCTTCTTCGCAAGCTTTAATTGCGAAATAAAATACGTGGAAGGCCACAAGAACAAAGTGGCAGATGCACTTTCACAGTACTATGACTCATCAACGGATGAGGATCTGCATTTCGATGACTACGTGTTGGCGGATATCCATCTGGATAAAAATGCAGAAGACATTATCCCCAACAGAATCGAGGAATATGAAGAACTGCTGCTAAGCAGTACCCTGAGTAAAAACTCAGAGAAAAAGAGACTCGCAGCAATACATGTGAGAAATACCCTAGAGGGGGGGAGTGCCCAAAACCTGGAAGAAGTCATAATTCCAGAGGAGAATCTTCGAAAACAATTCGAAGGAAAAGACCTCATCGAGGCAATAAAATCTGGATATTTGCAAAGCCAGATCCACCAGGAAATCCTAGAGAACCCGGGGAATTTCAAAAACTTCTCCATAAAAGATGGACTGATAACCCGACTTGGAGAAGGAGGAACAACCCAAATAGTAGTCCCAAAAGGGAACTACGAAAGGAAGTCCATTCGAGGAATAATCCTCGAAAACATCCACAAAATACTTGGACACTTAGGATCCAAGAAAACAGTGGAAACCCTCTGTCGATACTTCTGGTGGAAGTCGATGAGGAAGGACACCCACAAGTTCTGCAGGTCCTGTGGAACTTGTCAAACAACAAATAAAAGCACCAGGAGAAATCCCGGACTGCTTCACCCACTCCCGACCCCGGAAACACCATGGTCGTCAATACCCATGGACTTCACAGGTCCATTCCCAACAGGCTTGGGATATGATTACCTCTGGGTAATCATCTGCAGGTTGATGTCCAACATCCACCTAATTCCAATAAAAATAACGATGAATGCATTAGAACTAGTGTTCGTATTCCTTCGCAAAGTTGTAAGACTTCACGGTCTACCACACTCGATCATATCAGATTGAGACTCGAAATTCATGTCAAAATTTTGGTGCGAACTACACTGAATACTCGGTGTGCAGTTGAAATTCACAACTGCATTCCAACTGCAAGGTGATGGCCAAGCGGAAAGAATGATACAAAAAGTAATACAGATACTATGCACAATGGTCAGACCAGATCAATGCGACTGGGCAGCGAAGCTGTCGATGGCGGAATTTGCGATCAATGCAAGCTCGAACACATCAACAGGATTTGCCCTGTTTGAATTAATCTATGGCCACATGCCAAAGATGTGCCTAACAGCACCACCCTCGGACTACCCGGGAGTAAACAACTTCGCCCAAAAGGCGAAGGAAAACCTCATGGCAGCACACGACACGATAATACACAATCGTGCTGCTCAAACAATCTAGGCGAATAAGAAAAGATGCCCGGACCCACCTTTGAGAAAAGGCGAGCTTGCATACTTATCCATGGATAAGCTGAACCTACCCAAAGGGAGGGCAGGTAAACTAAAGCCCTTATACATAGGGCCTTACAAAATTCTGGAAACATTTCCAGAGACGTCAAACTACGTCCTCAAGTTGCCACCACAACTTGAACAATGCAGAATCCACCCAAGATTCCACATATCCCAGCTCATACCTCACAAGCCGAATGACCAAGAAATCTTCCCAAATAGGGAAGTAAACATATTCTACAATTTCAGGGAAGACCCCAATCGCGAAGCAGTAGTTCATGAAATCTTAAACCACGCATGGGTTCACAACGAACTCTGGTTTAAGGTTAAATGGGAGCTAGGGGACACCACATGGGAACCCCTAGGAAATTGCAATGACCTCGTCCACCTGGATGAGTACCTCACACTACAAAATGTGAGGGAACCAGAAAACCTCCCTATCAAAGAAGACAGGGAACTCTCGGCATCACTATGCCCCCAAAAACGGAGGCAGAGGAAGTAAAGCCAAGGGACGATTGCCCACAGCCAAGGGTGTGGGAAAGTTCTGGGCAAGCAACTCGCCCGGTGAAGGAGCGGAGCTGGATCACCTTATGTAACCAGTTTCCTACGTCCAATAACGATATTAGAGTTTGTGCTGATTTGCGTACTGACCGTGTTTTGGTTGCCAAATATATGATTGTTCACTGTCTAAACAACAATAAACACCCCCCAACGATCTCACCTGATGTATAGATCGTCTACGGATAAAATTCTATATTGACTTTACTATGATTTCTAGTCAATATTACACCTATATTTACCACTTTTCAGTAGGATGTGATTTTCCTGATAATTTACTGAAGGAAAACTGCTAATAAAATAATTCCGCAATAAATGTTACTCAATACAGGAGTGACCAAACTGCTCTTTCTATCGCTTAGAGTGCGTGCTAGTTATCTAGCAGGTTCAGGATCGCTCACTTTTCTCCTGTGGTGTGATAACCAAGTATTGCTGAGAGATTATTCAATTAAGAAGTCCCTCCACCAAATTCTCACTAATTCTCACTACGACACTTTTGTTCAGCTGTGTCTAACTGACCCTAACTCACGCTTAGAGTGACGTGTTAGTTTTATATTAGCTAACAACTAATATTTGCTTTTATCTTTTGGAGCAAACGAACCAACCACTGGTGAGGAGAATTAAACTTTTATTTCTACCTGAGGTTTGAGAGGGGGCAGAAGCGGTGGCCTTTTATGCTTTTCAGAGGCCTCTCTACTCCCACGCCTCGCACTAGTTACATGTGCTACATTTGTATTATAGATAGTTCTAGAATGATATAGGGGGTTGGGCTGTGTAAGCTTAATAATGGACTTAGGACATGACTCAGCAATAAGTAATTCATTTCTTTGTCTTTTGGGCCGATCTCAGCGGGATCTTGTAGCGCTGAAGCTATGCTCTACACCGCCTTAATTACGAACGGTTATCTTTAGAAATGACTCGGCTATAAAGGAACTTTCTAGACTGTTCTCTAATTGACCCCTTTTTGTGAAGCCACATCATTACTAATGTTCTAGAGCCTTCCCAATTAATTAACTGATCCGCGGACTTCTGAATCACTTCATGCTTATGATCCGAGATCCAGATCATCAATCATTCCTTTGTTCCGATTTATTTGGGCTTAAAATCAAAAAGTTTTGATGAATCATGGGAAAATATACAAGATCCGGTTTTTTAGCATTTTCTCCTCTTCTGATGCGATCAAAAACTGTCCGCCCGCGCCGGGGAATACTCTATCATATGGTATTCGGTCCGCCAGACTTCCGGGCGCCAATATATTTCCCTTGAGTCACATTACCTTTTGTAAGAATTAGCAAATAAATATATATGAATTATAAGGTGTTTCGCCGTTTGAGCGATATCTCCGTCAGTTTTGAAGCTTTTAGAATGAAACAAAACCGTGGATAAAGTTAAGAAACAGTCCTTCCAGATGGTAAAAAGATTACAGTCAAAAGTTTACTGGTTCCCGAGATATTTACATTTCTTTCCCAATGTTCCTTCTTATTCTGCCGTCTATGTGCTATTTTCTTGTTGTAGGGATATATTCTTTGAATATTACACCTATGTCAAGTTCTAGGCATGATTGTAGTAGATTAAATCTCATACTACATGGGTGTAGATATTTTATAATGATCTTCTAATGTCTGTCCAGTCTCATAAAGATCATGAGATCTGTTAAACGTCTGAACTTGTCACCTGTTCGTTGACTATTCTGATAGATCATTGTTTTATTCTTTGAATATTATTTCTCCTACACCGGACAGCCACACCATGTGCTAGAGATCACATGGGCCAGGTGAGTAACTCACCTAGACCACATGAACCACAGGCTCATGTGTAAAAGCACACACAAAATTGCAGCGAATCCCATGCACGCAAGAGCTAAAACCCCTCCCACCACTATGAGAAACATAACAACGAAATGTTGTTCTCTGGTGTAAGGGGTTGTTGTAGGTGCCAACCCTGGTTAGCCTAGTTCCTTGGGCTGCCAACAAAAGTGACTTGTATGAAGTTATATTTGCAACAGTATGGGAGGAAAGGCTAAGTTGCTCTTTCCACTTTCCCACACTATTGTATGTACTTTGTATATACATGTTTATTACAAGACAATTATACAATGATGTAATGGGAAATAAGGGGTGGGGCTGCCACTCCTTACACTCTCCTCCCTTGCGATATTAATATCGCATATAAGGAAGGGGTAACATGGAAAGAGAAAAGAAGAAGAAAAAATTTTCAAAAAATGAAAGTAAAGGTGGTTAAACCTTTACAAAACTGTTGGGATGACAGTTCATAGAATAAAGTTAAGGTAGAGGCTGTTAAGCCTCCACAGATCCATTGTTTTGATGGATCAGAGAACAAGGGTAGAGGCTGTTAAGCCTCCACAAATCTGTTGTTTTGACAGATCAAGAAATTCAAAATAAAGTAAAGGCTGTTAGGCCTTTACAGAACCATTGGTTTGATGGTCCAAGGAATAAGAGTAGTGTAGAGGCTGTTAAGCCTCCACAGATCTGTTGTTGTGACAGATCTGGAAATTCCCGGTTTAACAGGAATAAATCAAAAAATTAAAATTTTAAGATAAAATTAAAACATGATGTAGAGGTGGTTAGACCTCCACTTGTGAAGGCGATTAGGCCTTCAAATTCCTGATTTACAGGAATTTTACCAATAAAAAGTAAATAAAAAACATAGGGTCATGAAACCCTAGGCCATTTATGGCTGCTCCTCCCTAAACAACTGTTAGGGAGTGTTGGGGTCAATAAACCCCAGGCCAGTGAAGGCCTCTCCTCCCTAAATGATTGTTTAGGCTGTCGCTGCAGATGATCACCAGCAATGGTTGATCTCCACAAGTGAATATGTCGACGCTATCATTTGGATCGCGCATCACCAGGCCCTGTGGAATTATGGAGACAATCATCTTGGGTTTAGAGTGGCGTTCAAGTGGCTGGATACTGTACATGCGCAATGGGTCGCAATTCCGATGCAGCGCTTATATGCGCTCGCCTGTGAACGATACATTAAGTCGCTACCTTCGGAATCCATTGCTCCCCTGGCTCCCCCAACCCTCTCCACTCTCCAAAACCCTCTCTCCCCCCCTCCTCCACTTGGGTTTTTCTCCCAATCCACACCTTCAACTGTGCCAGCACCCAATCCCCAACCCGTCGATTTGGAGACATCTTCTGCACATCAACCTCCTGTTGATTGTGCGGCCTCCAAACCCATTCTGAGTCCCACTGCTGCACATACTGATGCCAATGCATCGCCAGCTGTGGCTCAGCCTTCACCTCTGCCAGTCTCATCGACTCCGGCATCTCCACCAGTTCCGGCTCTGATCCCTGCGACTTCGAAATGCCATCGTCACCACTGAGGTCGGAAAAAACATCGATCTGAGTGATGTTCATCCACACCTCCCTCCTCCATCACTCCCCTTCCCTCTTTATTTACTCATTCATTTAATTTAAATTTGCCTAGAAACATTCCCTTCCCTATTCTTACATATGCTGCAGTTGCTGGCAGAAACTTGCAGCCATGTATTTCTTTCCTGCTGCTCTCCGCAACCAGGGCACATTCTTGGAGGCAAGTTGGGGCAAGGATCCACCACCGCTTCCAAGTGATTGAGAACACCTATTGGTTGCTCTAAGGGGAGAACCCATAGGTTGTTCTAAAGGGAGAGTGTAAGGAAGGGGTGGTGATTTACTTATTCCTTTATTATTCCTTGTTGTAATTTTGTATTTACATATGTATGGTGCGGAGTCGGGTAAAGGGTTCTTTACTCTTCTCCACACCAACATCAAATACTAAGTTCTATACAACCTAGATATCGACTGACCTGAGGACTGAAGAGGCACCAAGGTCGGCACCTACACCGACCTTACACCTTTTTAGTGTAAGGCCAGTTGGGGTGCTGGCCTGGGTTGACTCAATCCTCAGAATGTCGAGATCTAGGTGTCAGGGTACACACCCTGACTAGCCCGGACCCGGACCTGCATCCGGACCCGCTTCCACCCGCTGCGCTTCCCGCATGCATGCACACTCGTGCACTGCATGCTCCAGGCCCGGTTCCTACCCCTTCATGTGACTTCCGGGTATCCCCAGAAGTTTTGCTGATATTGGGGCCACTGTGGGAAGATGAGAAGTTAGCTTCCTTCTCATCTTCTTACCCACAGTAGGATTGTGCCCTGGATAGGGCTGGCCAGACCTGAGGCTGTGGGCCATAGGGGAGGGTCATGGGGACCCAGGAGTCGTCCCCTGACACTAGGCTGTATGGAGCTTATGATTCGACATCGGGGTGAGGGTAAAGAGTGAAGAACCCTTGACCTGAGCCTGAGCCATACATATGTAAATACAGTTGTTTTGCATTGTATGCGAAGAATAAAGATGAATAAAGAAAGCATGCTTTGCATGCATCACCACTCTACCACCCATCCCTTACAGTAACCCTCGATTCGATCCAAACAAGCCACTGGACATCGAGATACAACAACCTGGGGAGCAAGGCTCCCTGGAACAACAACACCAGGCTGTCAGGGCACACCTGCCTGACCCTGTGCCACACCCTGCACCGCACTGCCCTACTCCACTTCCCCTGCTATCACTCCCCGTCCCTCCTTTCTCACTTTCCCCCTTTCTCTCTATTTCTATTCTACGGTCAATTTCCCTTTTCTCCATGTACCACTACATACCTAACCCCGTTCCCCTGATCGCCACACGCACCGCACACACTCCCACCTACTGAGCGGCCACCTCTGGGATCTCCCATGGAGATGCCTGGGGAGGTGCAGCTGTGTGCGGAGATGACGTGGCTTCCTCCACGTGACCCTAACTGCATGTATATAATAGCGCCTGGGGTGGGAACAGAAGAAGCAGCCTTCTTCTCAATTTCCCACTTCAGGTAAGTACCATAGCTTTTCCCTTTTAATGATAACTCAATTTCCCACTTCAGCCTAAGTGGTCGGGGATGCTCACCCTGTGACGGGACCGCCGCTATGCATAGCCGACACCTGTCCCATCGAGTCCCTGGTGCCAGGACCTCACCGCTTTCGGAGCTGTCCCTGACACAGGCGCAGATAAGCACCATGGACTACATGATGCACGCAGCACAAATGAGTGCCGCAAACCAACAACCATCCGCATTGCCAACAGGCACCGCATACCCCCAGCCTCCTCAAAGGGGCTTCCAGTGAAAACTGCACCGATGGCACAACAAGTGCCATTCCAGGGGCAGCATTTTCTGCTGCAGCCCCAGGTATACTCCCCAGGGAACGACCCTGGCCAGATCAACCCCTGGATCAGCCAATTCAGCCCAGGTCCAACAACACCTCAGCCAAATGCAGGCTGGGAATCAGTTATCGCATCAGCGGTAGCTGCTCAGACAGGTCAGCTCCACCAGGAGCTGAAAGAAATGAAGTCCCTCATAGGAGGGAGACAAGGGAGCGACAGCGGCTCCTCGTCCAGACTGTCCAAATGGGCATGGTCTGATAACTCGAGGGCATCAGAAGATGCCTGCGACAATTGCGCCCATTGGAGGCACAAATACAACAGAGCATGAAGAGATGCTGAGGGCATCTTCGACTCTCTGAAAGACACAGAGAGAGAGGTCAATCTCCAAAAGAGGGAGATCGAATTACTAAAATGCAAGCTCAGAGAGGCATGCGCACTGACAGACCTCGCTGCCAAACCCATCATGATGGGGGCCTCCCAGGTCAGGGGAGGGGATATGGTGCCAGGGCACCAACTATCCCACCACCCTGTGGGCAGGCGACCCTGTCCAGGTTGCATAAGGGCCTGCCCTCAGAAGGGCAAACCCATGTCGAGGGGAAGAGGGAGAGCGGTAGGCAACCGACAGCAGACCCTAAAATGGGGACCACTGCCAGAGGCGGCAGGCCGCTGAGTACCTCAGCACCCTATGGGCAAGCTACCCTGCAGGGAAGTGTCCTGTTAGACACTGGTCTGGGGTCGGCACTGAAGGTCACCTTTGCAGGCCGCTATAGGCTGCGATGGCCATGATGCCGCGAACAAGGCCCGAGGGTAGGGCATTTGGCCTCAGCGACTCTAAAGGAGTGCTGTGCCCCCTAGCTGTCTCTTGGCCCTCATTTCAGACTTACTGGGGTTGCCTTGCTGGGGTCAGGACTTGGGGAGTCATGGTCAAATTGATATTAGAGCTAAAGTACTATAATGTAGTATACAGGATATATATAGGAGGAAAGAATGAATGGGAGCGGACCCGGGCTGAAGGCCGAAGGGTCCGGAAGCAAACATGAATAAGGAGCGGGGTTGGCCACACAGCGGCCAGCAATGACTGAGGGTCAACACAAACAATAACAGATAAATAAAGGAAGGAGCATAGGGCCGCGATAGCAGCGATGGTATCATAGCGGCCCTGTAGGGGCCAAGTGGGGGGGGTAGAGGAGTCGCACTGGGCATGGTGCTGGAGGCAGACTCAGGGTGGGAAGGTTGGTGTGGCTGTGGGGGAGTCAGCCAGGTGCAGGGGAGCCTAGGGGCAAGCAGGGGAGTGAGCAGGGAGTCCTCAGGGAGGATAGGGCTGAGGTCAGGGCTTGCGCTCACACTCGCATAGTGGGAATGGGCTCGGGCGGCATCGGGATGGGCGGCTAACAGGCCGGAATGCACAGCCGTGACATGTCCACATGTTATACGAGACCACCGAACTCAATGAGTTCAGCAAAGTCAAAGCTCCAGTTGACATAACAATCGACCCCAACTTCCCCATGAGGAGAATAGCGGGGTCAGAAGCGGCACACAACACCACATACACTTGGTGGACAAGTGTGAGTGGGAAAGAATTCATACACTGGTACGAACAGGCCAAAGCTGCCTTCAAAAGCAGCAAGGTACATAGAGTCCTTCACGAAAAAGCAAAGGAAACCGAGAAATACTTCTTGGGACTCCCAAGTATTGCAAAACTCGCAGAGGAGTACAATTCCCTGGAGAACAAGGGAAAAATCTCCTGGGAAAGTCTAGGCAAAGCTGCCTATATAAAGTCCCAGTTCAAACCACTCAGGACTCCTGAGGAACGTGCCACAAGAACTGCAGAGTGGGAAGCGAAAGCTTCCAAATACCGGGAAAGAGATGCAAGTCTCCGCGCTGGACAACCAGGCCAATGACCACCCTTCCCCATGGGAAGAATGATAGACCTACCGTACTCCACACCTGAGCCAAGTACCTCAGGAACACAACAACCCGCTCCCACCCAGGGAGCGCTGAAGGAGAGAACGAAGGAAGGTCAGTTGGGAGGTTCAAACGAGACCACCACCAAGCTGTTCCCTGGTTCTTTAGTTAGGATGGGGAAGTGTACTAGTGTTGTTTATTGTAAATATAGTACCAATCCGAGTGTTTTGGCTAATTCTATTTTTATGGGTTAGTTTTAAAGTTCCTGGGAATTGACTTACAGATAAACCGAGCCCTGCGGAGCTGTTTCTTTATTGAAATTTATTAATTTGTCTAGGTGTAATTCTGTGTAGCGTTGTTTAATTTGGATTTAAACTTGAATTTAATCTTCTACTTGGTGAAGTTTCAAAGATTCTATTCAGTTAATGAATTTGGATGGTGTCTGGAGTGTCCCTTGAGTTCGTTTTATTTTTGTCTTTATTTTATCGCTTGTTTTAACAGTAGCAAAATAACTGTTTTGTGTTTACACTTTGAAATCTGGAGTGTTAACCAGCTCTCCTGTTGAAATATCTACTTAATATTTCTCTCCTTAATTGCTGCCTTTTACTACAGTGGCAATCTTAACTGTATATCACTTTTTCGCACTGGAGTGACAACCAGAAATGCTTGAGAAAAATAATACTCTATTTTCTTACTTCTCTAAGGGGGGCGAAAAGTCGCAGAAAGGGTCTCCCTTTTATACTCCTTGGGTCGCCTTCCTTTTTCACGCTCTACCTTCTATTTACAGGATTTATTTACAGTGTATTTTTCTCAAACTGAATAAAAAGTGAAATTTTCACGCTATAGTTCCACTGCGCTTTGCTGCGCTGAACTGCGGCTCTACTGCGGTCAGACTGCGCCTGGAATCCTTATTGTCCTTCCTCGCCTAAGCTATTTTAATGGTTAATTAGAATTTGTCTGCGCCGCATTTGCCACAGTTCCCTATTTCAAATTCCCCATATTTCCCATTAAGTTCGCTATGACTCGGTCATACTAAATTCAAACCTCGCATTACTATGCGTGCGACTGTGCTGAGACCTTCAGCTGATTTATTCCAATTTTATTTAGTGACATTTAGTTAAAATGAGACTGAAATGATAAATGAGTGAATTATTCAGGTTTAAAACTGAAAGAAAAAGTTGCTAGTAATCAAGAATTACTCAAACGAATGTGTTATAGCTCTCTACTTCATTAGAACATCGTTCCCTAAAATTCCCGCCATGGTCCGTCGTAGTTT